CCAAATGAGGGTACAGCTCTAAAACTCAATTTTATGGTTCTGAGGCCAGCTGATAGTCAGGTTTCCTGAACTCTGTGGTAGCTCTCAAAGAGGCTAATTCCATCAACAGCTGAAAAATATCAGAGTACTAACAGTGCCATGTTGCACATGGGTGGTTTCCCTGTTTGTACTTTTGGTGTGCATCGCCAAGGCCACATTAGAGCCCTTTGTTACGGCTTAGGGTTTATTAGTGGAAATGAGGCAATTGCTTGAGCTATAAAACAGTGTACTGAGTACTATCTATGTTTCGAGTCAAGTTCTTTAACAAATTTAAAAATGAATAAAGTAACAAAAACTATAAAACACAAAAAACCACAGTCATCACCAAGTTCGCTAAACCTATCATTCACCAGTATTTGTGGTCTTCGAAGAAACTTTTCTTCTGTTGAGTCTTATCTCTTGCAAAGTTCACCAGACCTACTTGCTCTTTGTAAGACTAATTTGAGTTCAGCTGTCTCATCTTGTGATCTTAGTGTTGATGGTTATCTTCCTTTAATTCGAAAAGATTCCATTAGTCAAATGCTTGGCCTGGGCATTTACATTCGTAAGAATTCACTCATTTGTCAAGAAACTAGGTTTGAATCCACAGACTACTCTTTTATGTGCTTTCGTTTAGCACCACTTCACTCTATCACTTCTCTTTGTTCTATATCGCTCTCCCTCATCTCAAGACTGCACTCTTCTAGATGTTATTTCTGATTATATTGACCAAGCCCTCATTCTTTATCCATCAGCCAATATTGTTGTTGTCGGTGACTTTAATGTTCATCACACTGAATGGCTTGGCTCTAGTGTCAGTGACTCTGAAGGCATTAAAGCCCACAACTTTTGTCTTTCTCAATCCCTAACTCAAATAGTCAACTTTCCAACTCGTTTTCCAGACAACCCGAATCATTTACCTTCTCTACTCGACTTATGTCTTGTTTCTGATCCTAGTCAGTGCTCAGTTTCTTCACACTCACCCTTAGGTGCTTATGATCATGGTTTGGTCTCTCTAAAACTATTATCTCATTCTTCTTTACCATCAGAATCCCACTATCATCGTACATCTTACATGTACCTTAGAGCTGACTAGGACTCTTTCCGTGATTTTCTTCATGATGGCCCCTGGGTAGAAATCTTTCGTTTCCCTGTTGACAAATGTGCTTTTTACATAACTTCGTGGATTCAGGCTGGCATGAAATCCTTTATTCCCTCTCGAGGATTCCAGGTCAAGCCTCACTCTTCTCCATGGTTTTCCTCGCATTGTTTTGCTGCAATTGCCAATCAAAACCATTACTTCCATATCTATCAGCAAAACAATTCTCCAGAAAACAGACGTCTGTTTATTACTGCTAGGAACCATTGTAAAAAGGTTTTGTCTAACGCCAAAACCCGCTATTCTCAGATCATGAAATCTTGTATTTCATCACAAAAATTAGGCTCTCGTAACTTCTGGAGAATCTTTAATAGTATCAATAATAAGGGCAAGTCTGTAATTCCAACTCTTTTGTATGGTTTAGACTTTGTCACCTCACCTAAAGACAAAGCTGAATTGTTTGCCAAGAACTTTTCATCAATATCATCTCTTGATGTCACTAGTTGCGTTCAACCTGATATAGCCGTCAAACAGGTTGATCCATTGCTCGACATTCGTATCACTCCAGCTTCTGTATCTAAAGTGATTTCCTGCTTAGATTCTTCTACAGCTTGCGGCCCGGACAACATACCTGTTACAGTCTTGCAGAAGTGTTCTCCCAAGCTGTCGTCTATCCTTTCAAAACTATTTAACAAGTGCTTATCAGAGTCTTGTTTTCCAGCCTGCTGGAAAGCAGCTTCTGTTATCCCTACTTTTAAAAATTCTGGAGAGCGATCTGACTCATCTAACTACCGTCCCATTAGTCTTCTTCCTATCATAAGCAAGGTTTTTGAATCTTTAATTAACAAACACTTAATCTCTCATTTCGAATCTCATAACCTACTTTCTGATCATCAGTATGGATTTCGATCTTCTCGTTCTACGGCTGATTTGCTATCAGTAATAACCGATAGGTTTTATCACCCATTAGATAAAGGTGGAGAGGTTAAGGCCATTGCTCTTGACATTTCTAAAGCGTTTGATAAAGTTTGGCATGCTGGTCTCCTCCATAAGCTTTCTTCTTACGGTGTATCTGGAAACATCTTTAAGATTATTGAATCCTTTCTTTCTAATCGTAGTATAAAAGTTGTCCTTGATGGACAGCACTCTTCTTTTTTTTCTGTAACCTCAGGGGTTCCCCAAGGTTCAATCCTTGGCCCTATACTCTTTTTAATTTACATTAACGATCTTCCAGATATTCTCACATCTAAGGTGGCATTGTTCGCTGATGATACTACAATTTATTCTTGTCACGATAAGAAGCCCTCTGATTGCTTCTCTTTATCGAGCTCGTCACTTTCTTACTCTGGATTCTATTTTCTATCTCTATAAATCTCAAATCCGACCTTGTATGAAATACTGTTGCCATATCTGGGGCGAATCTTCCAACGATGCCCTTTCTCTTTTAGACAAGGTGCAAAAACGCATTGTAAACATAGTTGGACCTGCTCTTGCAGCCAACCTTGAACCTTTGTCACATCGCCGTAATGTTGCTTCTCTTTCTCTTTTCTACAAATACTATAATGGGCACTGCTCGAAAGAGCTAGCCTCTCTTGTGCCATCTACTAAAATTCATTCTCGTGCTACTTGTCATTCAAATAAGTCTCATCCTTTTTCTGTTACTGTTCCTAAGTGCTCCAAAAACTCTTATTCGTCTAGTTTTTTTCCTCGAACATCAGTTCTTTGGAATTCGCTTCCTTCATCGTGCTTTCCTGATTCATATAATTTGCAACTTTTCAAGTCGTCTGTCAATCGTTATCTTGCTCTACAATCTTCATCTTTTCTCTTCCAGTAACTTCCAACACTAATTAGTGGTTGCTTGCAGCCTTGTTGGAAGCGAAGATAATTAAAAAAAAAAAAAATTGTTAATACCTAGGTTATTGACAAAAAATTGTTTTTTACTTTTGTCATATGTATTTTCGATGGATACATTGCAAGAATGCTATTTCTAAAAGTTTTTCAATAATTTAAGAGCAGTTATTATTTGTTTTTCTTCTAAAAAAAATATGTTTTAACTGCTTTTTCTAAAAACCTGAAATGATTACATTTAGACATATGCAAATATAGAAGGTTTTTTTGAAATTCCAACTTATTTATAATTAAATTAGACTTAATCAAGTATATTGTTTTTACTTGTAGGCTTAATCAAGCATATTGTTTTATTCGTTGTTTTTTTTCTGTCTCAACAGTCAATGGTGTTAAATCTCAACAGTAATACTGTCTTTTACTAACTTAAATTAGGGGGGTGTATTAGTCTCTCATTCATGCAAGAAAGTATTAGGCACTAGATATACAGCGATCCCATCCTTAGGAATGAATTGTGATTACCAACTATGTTTTGGGATCCTGAAACCTGCTACTTATCAGAGACATGTCTTTTCAACAGATCTCATTGTATGCACACAATTTATTACATTTTGTTCTTAGTTTCACATTTTTTAGCTACCATTAGTTTTGTTCTTATTTTTTTGTCTTCTATTTTCCTCCTTTGTTCTTATTATACTAACTCGTATACTTTCTATAATATTAATATTATAGAAATAATACCTCTATTATAATACCTACTAATATTATACTACCTCTTATACTTTCTATAATACAAAAAACATAGATGCTTTTAGGTGTCAGGTGTTTTTTGGAACGTAGATATACATAATCAAACTTTTAAATATAAATACTTCATTAAGTTAACTATAAATCATAATTAAGTATGAAATATAAGCACTAATTACATTGAGATGTAACTAATTACATTGAGATGTAACTAATTACATTGAGATGTAACTAATTACATTGAGATGTAACTGGTGTTTTATAACTGGATAAACAAATGTATGCAAGTAGATATAATTGTATAAATAAATATAGATAAACTAAATATAACTGTATAGGAAAATATATGCAAGCAAATATAAATCTTTATATATATGCAAGTAAATATAACTGTTTAAATAAATATATACAACTAAATATAACTGTTTAAATTTTAAAGTTTAACTTATTAACTGTTTAATAATTTAAAATAAGATTCTTTTGCAATCAATATCGAGATTTTGAATACAATCATTTTTAATGTAACACTTTTCAAAAGATGCAACAATACATTTATAGTTTTTTTATTGTTGAAATAACTTGTGGTTTTTTTAAAGTTTATTAAAAAGAAAAAATATTACAAGGTTTTACTTACAAAAATCCACTAATTTATAACTTAAAAAAACCCTTCAAACAAGTTATCAAATTTTAAATATGTCAATAATGTTTTTTTGAACAGTGTGCACTAAAGTTAAAGGGAAACACATTCGATTGAAAATAGAAAGTGAAACCAATTCTAGTGAAAATAGAAAGGGAAACACATTCTAGTGAAAATAGAAAGGGAAATACATTCTAGTGAAAATAGAAAGAAAAACACATTCTATTAAAAATAGAATGAGAAACAGATTCTGTTGAAAATAAAAAAGCAAACATATTCTATTTAAAACTCATTTTATAAACATGTTTGTAGTAAAAACTTTTATGAAACAATTATGAAATTTTTTATTGCATTAAATGGAAAACAAAAAAGTTGTAGTAGGATTTTTTTTAATTTTAATTATTATAAATTTTTCTAGAAACAATTAATTAGCTTTCAAAAATAAAATTAACCATAAATATCAAACTGCTTTTTAGTTTTAAACAATTGGTGATTTTGGTTATAACCATGAATACCAATTATTTTAAAATTAAAATTATACACTCCTGCATATAAACCTGCATATATATTTATAGTAAATATCTATAAATATAGTATATTCATACCATTATAAAATTTACATTTCGAACAGCAATGAAAAAAAAAAAGACTTACCCTTATTCTTGCTCCAGACACATCTTGCAATTCTCTGATTTTTATTCCACCTTTTCCTAATTTATTTAAAAAGATTAAACAACAAGTTTGGAGTCAACAAAAAAAAAAAAACATAATATAAAATATGCACACAATATTAAAAATAGTCCAGTTGCACTTATTTGTTTATAATTAATACTTAATTTAACGCTGTTGCTACTGCCCATTTGTGCGCGTTTACACAGACTTTTTTACTATTTATTATAAAGAGGATTTAGCATGTTCTTTTCTTTATACTTTTGAACGTGATGAGGTATTCTTTAATCTTAATAATCTGTCAATATCTACTTAAGAGTGAAAACTTTGCTTCATCAGCTTAATTAGTAATAAGATCGACAATTTTTATTTGATAACTTCTGTAGTAAAGGATGAACCTTATGTTATTTTTGAATTAGTAAAATAAATTTTAAAGTCAGGTAATTTATTTAATTCATGCATTATAATAATAACACAATTCCAGTCCTTTGTCAATTGTATTTAAAGTATATTAATCTGTAATTTTTAAATTAGAAGACAATGATGACTCGTTAAAAACGTTGCTCTTTTCAAAGCTCAAACTCTTGATAAAGTTAGTATTTATCTTCAAAACCCTTGCATCTCACACGGTACACTCTATGTTACATGTTATGTTATATTTCTAAGTTATGTTACAACTCTATGTTACTATGTTATGTTACAACTCTATGTTACTATGTTACAAGAACAAGATCATTTAATACCTTATTTAAAAGAAGTTAAAAAAAAATCTATTTGCTTTTATATAAAAAACCAGATCGTTTGATCATTTGTTTTTGCAAGTTGTTAAACATTTATTACGATGTATGTCATTAAACAAATATTACAAAAAGGTTGTACTTGTAAAGTTTCGAATTTATATATTTTTCTTAATTTATATATTTATTTATATTTGTGTTATTTATTATGTGTTTATATGTGTTAAGGTTATATGGGTTTATATTTTGTAAATGTGTAAATATCTTTTATATATGACTGTTTCTATGTTTGTGATATGTTATTTGTTTATAGTTTGTAAGTGGTTAATATGTTGTTTGCATGATTTCAAATTGTTTATACCTGGCTTACATCAAGAGTGTTGACCTTGCTAGCCAAGTGATGTACTTTGCTATAATGTGACTTGGCTTTGTTGGGAGCAAGATTGTTGTCCATGCCAGTTAAGTGGTGTACTGTCATGATGAAACAGATAAATTAAATCTGCTTGTAGTTAGTGTAGTCATAAAAACTGTTAAAAAAATATTGTTGAAAGAATGTGTTTATAAGAAATGTTGAAAAGAGATATCTTTTTTAATATCTATAATTTTTTTAATATTTCTAGTTTTTTTACCTTCATTAAATGTTTAACTTGAATTTATTGTTTGTTTTTTTATAAAGGTATTTGTACAAAGTGTTACATAAGTTTTAGTAACTTTCATTAAATTTTTAGGATTTTTTGTATAGAGAATGATTCATAAAAAAACATAATAATATTTTAATGTTTTATATATTGACCTTTTTTCTTTAGAATATTAAATATATATAAAAAATTAAAACAGTTCAAGAAGTTTCAATATTTTCAAGTTTCTTCACTTGAAGCAAATATATGATTGTTTATAAAGGTTTTCAATTAATAGTTTTGTTAAACTTTTATTAATTACTTTTTATTGTTTTTTTGATCAAATACTAATAATATTTTGACAATAATTATTAATAACAACATTAAATATATAACATTACTCAGTTATAAAGATTATATCAATTTATTTATAACTTTAGTTTAAGTTCTTGATAGAAACATGTTATCTTGACACATTGCTATTGTATTTTAAAACATCTAATGACTAATAGTATAGGTAAAATATAATTAGATTATTATATTATACTTAGGCTAGCTGAGGTAAATTGTCGTTGAAATGAAAGAGATCAGTCTAAGTGAGCTAAAATAAATTGCCGTAGAAATAAAAGATATCAGAATAGGTGTTATAATTCTTTTTTACCTTTTGCTTCCTTCACAGCCAAAATACTTCATCCCTTATATAATTGCGCTTTCTGTTTTAGGGTTTATGGGCAAATTTTGCATCGTGTTGGAAATTGAAGAAAGTTTTCTATTCGCGATTGTCAGTTAAATATATATGATCTTAATGTAGCAGTGTCATTCAGAATGGAGCCTGGTAATGATGGTTGTATAAATGAGTTAATGCAACTCTTTAAATAATCAAGAACAAACTTTAAATAATCAAGAAAATTTGCTTCTGCATTTAAAAACATGGCAAAAGTAGAGGAAAAAAATGATGATGGCACAATTAACTGGAGCATCATGTTACTTTATCCCAGTATTATAGTTATAGGTTTGCTGTTAGACAAACTCTTTGTCCTAAATACAAACTAATTAGTCCTATATAATTAATGTTTAATTTAATGCTGCTTAGTCCTTCGTGTGTGTTTGACTCTGAGTTTTTAAAGAAGATTTGTTAAGGTATTGATAAGGTATTCTCAAATCTTTATTATCTCTATTATAATATGTAATATCTGATGAATCAGTTATAAGATTTTAAATTTTATATTAGATAATTTGGTGCAATCATAAGTTCTGTCATAAATGTGTAAATACCTGTAATATATAAAGTGCTTTAATGTGTGTTTTGTGTAAGTGGTTATGTTGTTTCAATGGCTTTAAAGTGTTGTGACTTGTGAGTTTGTGAGCTTGTGAGTTTATTTATTTTTATTATATTTTTTTTATATATATAGCTCTAGCTGCTTCTTCTGGCTCAACAAGTGTTGTTGTACTCATACTTGACTTAGTACATTAACTGATTGCTTTTATTGTACAATACTATTTTATAATACTGTAGCCATTTTTTAAAAAGTCTTAAGGTAAAAAAATCAAATTTGACTTTTACACAAAATAAGCTAACTTAGATGCCTACAAACTTTATTGAATAAATATTTTCCAAGAATTATAAAAAAATCATAAAAATTTTTAGTTTAAAAAAATGTTTTACAAAGAGGTTCCTCTAATAATTATCATAAAAATTTTTAGTTTAAAAAAATGTTTTACAAAGAGGTTCCTCTAATAATTATCATAAAAATTTTTAGTTTAAAAAAATGTTTTACAAAGAGGTTCCTCTAATAATTATCATAAAAATTTTTAGTTTAAAAAAATGTTTTACAAAGAGGTTCCTCTAATAATTATTTTTTAATTGTGTTTTTCCTGAAATATGAAATAAGCCTCTTAACGTCGTACAAATATTTCTTTTAATTCAATCAATCAATGTAATAAGTTTAAGTGAGTACAATAATTTTATTGTTTTACTTATATTTAAAATGTAATAGTTATATACACTTATACTTGACTTCACTTAGACTTGACTTATTCTTGCATTGATTAATTTCTTTTATTGTAATTTTAATTTTTATGTAGCTGCATTTTCTTGTGCTACAACAAGAAAGATGTTCGTATGCTTGAGTTTTGTCTCACTTATACTTGACTTCGATTAATTGTTTTTATTGTTTTTTTTTATATTAGATTTTTTATTAGTATCTTTCCCTCTAAATATTTATGTTGAATACAAAATTTTTTTTTTTTTTTTTAAGTTTATTTTTTTGTTCTATCTCAAGAAAATTTTTTTGTTTGTTTCTCAAATAAATTTCTATATTTTTTTATCTTTGGGATTATTGTTTTGAATGGATATATTGGCTATTTTCGCTTTGTTTTTTATATTTCCATTATCTTTTGATATGTGAATGGAAACCATTTATACTTTTATCACCTTTTGTACGATCATGACGGTTTCCATTTGCATCAAGTATCGATTGCACAAACAACAGGTTTAAAAATTTATTTGCCTAATTCCGCAGTAAAAACAGCTTAATTGTATGAATTTGTTAAGAATTTATTTACAGAAAGGCAAAAAAATATCAAACAGATAAAGCTAACTTATTTGAAATAACTAGGTCTCTTGGGCCAATTTTTCTTTTTAAATAATTTGCTTTATAAATAAATCCTTATGAAAAAGTTAAAATATTATTATCATAGCCTAAGTTTCCAAAAACACCTGAAGAAATGTTACGCAACTGTCTTATATGTTAAAGACATGTAATGTAAAAGTAAACAAGCAATAATGTAATAAGTAATAATTCTAATAAAAAATAAGTTCTAAAGTATAGTAAATTAAAAATTAACCAGAAGGCAAGAACTTGACGTAGTCAGTAAAATGCAAACTGCGTTCTTTTTAGCAAACCAAGATATTTTAATGACCACAACAGATATTTAAAACAATTGCTCATAAATTTTTTAATTAAAATATGATATTTAATATATTTTATCTAAATTAGACTGTTTTCTTTTAAATTAATTATAATTTAACAAGCAATAGATTTATGGTTCGCAAAAAAGTTCACATTTTACCAGCTACCAGAACTTTAAATTGATTTATTTTTTGCCGTTTACTAAATTAAAATGTAAAGACTAAATTAGTAATAACTATTATTTGTTGCAAAAATTAAAACACAAAATGAATAAAATATTAACCAATAACTTTTCCCACTAATTCGTTGCTAACATCAATTACCAATATGTTATCTTGATGTCCCTGACTTGCGAAACCATTTGATGGTTTTTGATTGTTAAAATCTGAAAGCTGTCTAGATGGAGTGCTGTTCACATTACCTGAATGTTCATGAGATCTGAAACTATTCTCTACATAATTTCCTCTCCCTCTAAAAATATGTTAAAAAAAAAAAAATTATTATATTGTTTTTATATTACCAAAGTTATAGCAACTCTAAAATATTTAAATTATGAAACAGAATAACAGAAGATTGCAGAATCAGAACATAGGGTCAACAACATGCAAATTATGAAACAGAGCAGTTTGTCCAGTCAAATTAAATATTGGTAAACAAATATATTAAGGTATATTTATTCACCAATTGCTGTGTCTAGTGAATTATGAAAATTTTCAAAACTTCTGCTAATTTAGGTAATTTTTAGAGGCTCCTCATGTTTATTGAAGTTTTATCACTACAAAAAAATGGCTTGACTAGTAAAACTTTATATGATCTTCTAATAATAATAATTAATCTTAATAACAATTTTAGTTAATACAATTGCATAATAAAATTGAAAGTGCCTGCCTAATGTAAAATCTGTTGCTTTCTTTGTAAATCAAGCCACAAATAACATTTTTTTGGGAAACATTAATAAAATTACAGATTTGTGCTCTTGTCATGGTCAGTCAATAAAGTATCTCTCCAGGAGTTATAACAAAGATAAACCGAATCAGTAAGAATATAGATTGAAGCTGAAATAATCTCTTTGAAATAAGTCACTGTAATTCTAACAAATTAATAAAAAATGACATAGACAGCAATCTCTTAGATTGCAGGAATTAAGAACAGGTTTCAAAGAAAAATAAATAGCACTTATTAGAACGAGAAAAACTGTCGGTTGCACACTATGCAGAGCAGAGCATTCATATTAGAAAAGTTTTTTGGTAAAATAAATATTTTACTCCATTTTGTTAATAATCCTGATATAATTTTTTATTCACTTTTTTTATGGTTCCACAAATTTTTTAATTTATTGTTTGATATAAAGTGTTTAATTTTGAGCGCTAAAATATTAGTATTTTGCATAAGAAAATGCAACTGCTATGCAAAATTAGCATCTGAAAACAAAGTAGATATTTGGAAAAAAAACATTATTATGTCACATAAATCGTGTTTAATGACCGCTACAAAGACAAAATTAATTAAAGAAACCCCACATCCAGGGTGTAAACTAACCCTGTGGGGCCCTGTCAAATGCGGTATTCCCAAATGCTCACAAAATTAAAACTCCCAATTTAAAAGTGAAAAAATCCCATTCTCAATAATAACATTTGGCTAATTAAAGTTTAATAATAAATCTAAAAATTATTGAAAATTAATTACTGTTAAAAACTAATAGAAGAATAATATAAAAAATTATAATTTATTGTTTAAAATTTGAAATAAAATTGCCATTATTGGTATAACTACATGTTTGCATAATTGCAAAAATGTCTCTTGGAAAAAAACTGTTTGAGAGTTAGGATTTTCCGAAAATCCCTAAAATCGCTCAGAAAAAAAATTGACTAAATAATATTGATAAATATGTTAAAAAAAAGTGTTAATAAATATGAAAAATGATAAATCTTTTTATCACTTTTCATATTTATCAACACTAACTTATTGGAACCATTTTAATTTACTAAATTATCGCAAAATAAGTTTAATTGAATAATTAACTTAAAACAATGTTGATTTATTACGTAATAATGTTATTTGAATATTTACTTAGCTTCCAGTTTTTTAAAATAACAACAACAACAACAAGAACAAGATATTCTTTTTTTTAAATCATACAATAATATTATAATAAATATAAAAATAATAATAAAAAAATCATACTTCTATTGATTGTAGTAAAAATAATTAATAAAAAAATATATATATATAAAATAATAATAATAATATAAAATAATATAATAATGAGTAAATTAATTATAAGTATTTAATAATAATAACTAAATGATTGGTGTTACTCAAACAGAATTCCAATCAAAGGAGTGACACTAGTTTTTAAATATAATATGATTTGTAAGAAGCATACACGCATAGAACATACATAAATTACATACATAAACATACAATTTGACCATGGTGTTATTGATGTTTTAACAATTTAAATGCAATTAAAAAAATTGTTACGTTATGAATAACTTTTAATCAATGATTTTTTTAAAGTTTTAATTTTACGGAAAAGCTTTAAATAATTAAAAAACTTATTATAATGATTGTTGAAAATAAATTTTGTATTTAACAAATAATGTTACATATAAATTTTTTCATGCTGGCTTATAAAATTATAATAAATTAAACATTTAAAAGATTTTTCCATGTCTTTCTAAAAATCTTTTGAAAGATTTAATTCAAATTATGTTATTTTATGTGATTTAATTTAAATTAAATTATTTAAATAATTTAAAATCTTTTGAAAGAATTAATTTAAATTAAAAAAAGTTAATTTAAATTATGAATAAGCAGGCTTGGCCAGAAAGAGGTGCGATTTCATGTCATAATATGACCACACAAATAATATTTGATTTTACTTAACTTGACCACGGCTGTTAAAATGTTTTGAAAATTTGTCTACATTTTAAAAACGCGATAAAAAAATTAAATCATATTTTAACTATAAATTAACAGTAAAAATAAAGTTAAGATTCTTTAACGATAAGTTTTTTTAAGTTTCTTTAAAGAAACTTAAAAAAAATTTATTGTTAAAGAAGCAAATCTTCGTAAAAAAAAAAAATAATGAAATAATTAAATTAACTTAATTAGAATTAAAATAACAAAAATAAAATTAAAACTTAACTGAAATAAATAATAAACTATAACAAGATTATCTAAATTACATTTGAAATAAATAAATTTGAATTGCTTTTGGTATGCATTGTCAAGGCCACATTGGAGCCCTTTGTTACGGCTTAGGGTTTATTAATAGTAATGAGGCAATTGCTTAGGCTATTAAACAGTGTACTGATTACTATCTATGTTTTGAATCAAGTTCTTTAACAAATTTAAAAATGAATAAAGTAACACAAAAACACAAAAAACCATAGTCATCACCAAGTTTACTAAACCTATCATTCACTAATATTCATGGTCTTTGAAGTAACTTTTCTTCTGTTGAGTCTTATCTCTTGCAAAGTTCACCAGACCTACTTGCTCTTTGTGAGACTAGTTTGAGTTCAGCTGTCTCATCTTGCAATCTTAGTGTTGATGGTTATCTTCCTTTAATTCGTAAAGATTCCATTAGTCAAATGCTTGGCCTGGCATTTACATTTGAAGACATTTGCCCATTTGTCAAGAAACTAAGTTTGAATCCACAAACTAATCTTTTATGTGCTTTCATTTAGCACCACTTCACTCTATCACCTTTCTCTTTGTTCTATATCGCTTTCATTCAGCTCACGACTGCACTCCTCTTGATGTTATTTCTGATCATATTGACCAAGCCCTCTCTCTTTATCCATCAGCCAATATTGTTGTTGTCTGTGACTTTAATGTTCATCACACTGAATGGCTTGGCTCTAGTGTCAGTGACTCTGCAGGCATTAAGGCCCACAACTTTTGCCTTTCTCAATCCCTAACTCAAATAATCAACTTTTCAACTCGCTTTCCAGACAACCCGAATCATTTACCTTCTCTACTCAACTTATGTCTTGTTTCTGATCCTAGTCAGTGCTCAGTTTCTCCACATTAACCCTTAGGTGCTTCGGATCATGCTTTGGTCTCTATAAAATTGTTATCTCATTCTTCTTTATCATCAGAATTCCCCTATCATCGTACATCTTACAACTACCTTAGAGCTGACTGGGACTCTTTCCATGATTTTTTTCATGATAGCCCTTGGGTAGAAATCTTTCATCTTCCTATTGACAAATGTGCTTCTTACATTACTTCATGGATTTAGGCTGGCATGGAATCCTTTATTCCCTCTCGAGGATTCCAGGTCAAGCCTCACACTTCTCCGTGGTTTTCCTCACATACTGCTGCTGCAAGTGCTAATCGAAACCATTACTTCCATATCTATCAGCAAAACAATTCTCCAGAAAACAGACGTCTGTTTATTACTGCTAGGAACCATTGTAAAAAGGTTTTGTCTAACGCCAAAACCCGCTATTCTCAGATCATGAAATCTCATATTTCATTACAAAAATTAGGCTCTCGTAATTTCTGAAGAATCTTTAATAGTATCAATAATAAGTCTGTAATTCCACCTCTTTTGTATAGTTCAGACTTTGTCACCTCACCTAAAGACAAAACATTTCATCAATATCATTTCTTGATTCCACTAGCTGCGTTCTACCTGATATAGCTGTCAAACAGGTTGATCCATTGCTCGAATTCCGTATCACTCCAGCTTCTGTATCTAAAGTGATTTCCTGCTGAGACTCTTCTACAGCTTGTGGCCCGGACAACATACCTGATATAGTCTTTCAGAATTGTTCTCCGAAGCTGTCGTCTATCCTTTCAAAACTATTTAACAAGTGCTTATCAGAGTCTTGTTTTCCAACCTGCTGGAAAGCAGCATCTGTTATCCCTATTTTTAAAAATTCTGGAGAGTGATCTGACTCGGCTAACTACCGTTCTATTAGTCTTCTTCCTATCATAAGCAAGACTTTTGAATCTTTAATTAACATACACTTAATCTCTCATCTTGAATCTAATAACTTACTTTCTGATCACCAATAGGGATTTCGATCTTCTCGTTCTACGGCTGATTTGCTAACAGTAATAACCGATAGGTTTTATCGCCCATTAGATAAAGGTGAAGCGGTTAAGGCCATTGCTCTTGACATATTAAAGCGTTTGATAAAGTTAGGCATGTTGGTCTTCTGCATAAGCTTTCTTCTTACGGTGTATCTGGAAAAATCTTTAAGATTATTGAATCCTTCCTTACCAATCGTAGTATAAAAGTTGTCCTTGATGGACAGCACTCTTCTTCTTATTCTGTAACCTCAGGGGTTCCTCAATGTTCAATCCTTGGCCCTATACTCTTTTTAATTTACAATAAACGATCTTCCAGATATTCTCACATCTAAGGTGGCATTGTTCGCTGATGATACTACAATTTATTCTTGTCACGATAAGAACCCTTCTGATTGCTTGCAGGGGGTATTTGAGCTTGA